TTTTTATTTTTTTGTTTAAAAGAACGTATTGAACAAAAGAATACTACGAATTAAATTTTAAGTTATAATAACTTTGGAAGAAGGCATACATCCCTTATATGCACGTTATAATAAAAGAGAAGTAACATTTATGAATTAAGAAATTAAATCATAAATAAAAGACAATCATAAAAGCAGAGAACTATAGAGCATTCAGAACCATTTTGATATGACATGAATGAAATTGTCACAACAAAGATTCAAGCTACAAATTGTTTTATCCTACAAAAATAAAAAATGAGATGCAAATGAAAATTATAAAAATATCATGCCCAAACTTTACAGAATAATTCAAGAATGTCTCAAAATATGATACTTTTTGTTGCCCAAGTATGGACTCTAGAGAGGGGTGAATAGAGTTTTTGGCAAACAATGACCAATTTTTGGATTTGCAAATTCTACTAAACCCTTCTAACAATTATGCAATTATCAAGATATAAACATGAACAGTTAATAGTATAAATGTAAAGGAGATAAGGGAAGAGAGATTACAAACATTCACACGACGATTTTAGCGAGGTTTGGAAATTCTTACTCCTTGGCTCAAGACCCCTCTTAAGACTTCCCAATCCACTATGGCACCTCCTTACGGGTGGAGAGCAAACCTTTACATTAAGCAACTTCTTGCTTCACTTTGCTAAGAGACAACCTCTCTTAGTCTTCCTTTGGGTCACACCAACCCTTATAAATTGAAGCTAGCTTGCTTCTTCTTTCTTAGGCCACACCAGCCCTTACAAATGAAGATCAGATTTGTTGCATACAGATGTATCTCTCAAAGATTGATATGCAAATATTAGCTCACAACTTTCAGCTCACACTAGAGTATATATATAAAAATAAATTGAAGCTCAATACTCTATAAATGATATGGGATAAGAGAGTATGATATGAGTGAAGAACAAAAATTCTTATGATGCTAGAAGATGTCTTTCAAGTGTAACAACCCTAAATCCCGAAATCCCCTTACTCTATTTATAGAGTTTCAGCAGCTAATACAAAATTAAAGCTGTTGTGCACACTGCCCGAAAGGAAAATAGCCGTTAAGAATCAAATTGGACTTACATTGGTCGACCGAACTGAAATGAGATTTATTTCGGTCGTCCGAAATGAAATGAGATCTACTGAGTGCCTTATTTCGGTAGGTCGAAATAAGTTGGCCTTTTGTTTCGGTCGACCGAAACACCTTCCTCCTTTGTTCTAAAACATTTTGTTAGAATCGGTCGTCCGATTCATATTGCCTATGCATGTAAATAAGTAAGTACCCCCCATTTGGATTCAATAAAAAATTGAAATCCAACTAAATCAAAATGTATAAATTCAGTTTTAGTAAAAATTTGGATTTCCGACAGTTTTGGTAAAAATGAATCCTCATGTAGACCAATGTAGACTTGGTCAAAAATTCTGATAAAATCAGTTTAGGCTAGTTGAAGTATAAATAGTTATTATCGGGAAAAATTATTTTGAAATAATCATTATTTCAAAAATTCATTTTTCACACTTAGCAAAAAATACAGTTTTTCATGATGCGCATTCAGGGGTCCTAATGTCCGTTACCAACTCATGGTAATGAAGGCTTCTCATGCCTTAATTGTTGACCAATATCAATTGTATGATAATGCGCATGGTCTTAGCATTTTTAGCACAAGTGATGAGTTCTTTCAAAGCTTTTGCAAGCTTGAACTAACTTACTCTTTAGCAAAGACTCCATATGTCAATTGTATATGAATGAAGTGCATAGTCTATTGCTAATGGATATAGGAGCATATGAATAATGATATGATATGCATGGTCCTATAGAGATGAGCTTCAAATGGATTCATAAATACTTTGACATTGAATCCTAAACACTCACCATCCTATCTACCCATTTCTTCACGCTTTGTCCATGATCGTGTAGGCTTTCAAGTAGACTCGTTTTCTTCCTTTCTTTGAGTTGCTTTCTTACTCGTTGTAGTCCAAGCTATCTTTGGACGGACTTTACATTTGGTTCCTTGTAACGTCATGTTCCTTTGTCTCCTTTGCTTTCCATAGACGTGATATTGAGTAATGGAATATTTGGAATGATCATTCGTGCTTCATTGAGGTCATCATTTGAATATGAATAATCTATAACACTCAATGTAAACATTAGTCCTTAAACATCATTAATGATTTGTTATCATCAAAACCTCTAGATTGTCCTTGGATGGAGTCATTAAGGTTAACACTTTTTTCACAGATAAATTCAAGGTAGTTCCAAAAAAAATTCTTTTTTTTTTACAAAAAAGTTTAGAAAGACATAATATATTTGTTTTTCTCGAGAGAAGAAGAAATTAAAGAGACTCAATAAGTAAGCATATGAAGATTTTGTTAAATGAAGGAAATACACTATTTCAATGATTATGAAAACAAGAAAAGAAAATAGACTGATAATAAATGAAAAAGAAAAATAAAAATAAAAAGTTTCATTTTGAATTCATGGAAGTGTAACATTGAGATACTTCTTTTCCTCATTCCTTTTTGATTAATATGAAACCATTAATATGAATTAAAAATATAATTTTTCATCATCAGCGTATAATGATTTACAATCAATTGAATAAAATTATTGGACAACACCAAGTCCACATGTAGCAACATTACTTGATGAAATTCCTGTTCAATAAGGTAACTGATAAAAGCAATCAAAGAACTTTTTTTCCTTCTTTTGAATCACTAGTGTAAGAGACACTACATAAATAACTAAAGCATATGAGCAATTTTTTCAGTATGCCTAGTTTTGAAAATTGAGCACATAACCTGCATGAGAATAAGAAATGTAACCAGCTTGTAGTCGATAATCAATATCGAATGAGGATAAGATATAGATTTGTTGAATGAGGATAAGATATAGATTTGTTCAACAATAGACATGAAAACAATACCAGTGTAACAAAAGACTACGATTTACAAGAAAAACAAAAATAGTAGCTAGGAGCACAAAAATTAATAAAAAAAAACACTGCAAAGAAGGTCAAAATTTTTATTATACATAAAAATTAATATAAAGCATCTAGAGAAAATAAACAAACATATAATTGCATTTGAGATTATCAAGAAGTATGTAAGGGTCTGTTTGGCTGCTAATAAAATTGTGAAAAATGAAAATTTATTATTATGTCATTGAAGTTGGATCCTAATACCCAAAGGGTATTAGACTAGATGTACGAGAGATATTTAATTGTCATATTTGTGCAGTTAAAATCCTAACTGGCATATTTAATTGCAATTTTTGTGCAACTAAAATCTTTGGTTGCATGCTCATCGTCTTTTTCTTCCAAATCCTTATCTTTATCTTTTAGACCTGTTTAAATCAATATATCCAAACTTCTATACTATCAAGTGAATTTTCATTGAAGGAATTTGTAAAACTTAAGTAAAATTCAATATGGTCAAGGAAAGAATATATAAATATAAAATCAAAACCAAAGGAAAATTTTGACATACAAGTCTGACCATGTTTGTATGACAAATATAAATCACGTTTCTCACATTTTTTTAGTAGTTGCAATCTTCTTTGTCATTTTATTGAACATTTCAAAAGAAAATTTATAACAATCATTTCCAATATCTTCCTTTCTTCTTCTATCTTATATAGAAAACATAATCAGAAATAAAAAACACCACTGAAACATATTGAACAATTAGTCACAAATTTCAGACATTACCGAAAAATTCATCAGTCGTTCATAGCCAAAATACTCAAATCTACGTATATGAGCCATCTTGATAAATGGACACGACTTAAATATGTACTAATATCGGCAAAACAGTATAGAGATCAGATTCAAATTTGTACTAATGTCAGCAAAAGAGTGTAAAGATCAGATTCAAATTTGTACTAATGTTAGCAACTAATATGGAGGAGGATAAAAGAAAAATAATAACAATACCCCAAGTGTAAGGTCGGCCTTGATCATCAACAGCCAAACAATTCCACCCACCAATAGTTGTCTGCAATCAAGAACCCACCAGTAAATTCCACTCGCAACAGTAACACTTATTTTATGTTCCAATTCAAACTGACAATTTGTACATGGGCTATTTCTTTATTATCTATTTTAGTCTCTGGGGATGTCCTAAAGTTCCTCTTTGGTTCCAACCCAAAGTAAAAAACTGATAAACACCCAACTGAAAAAAATAAAAAATCATCTAACTAACAATAAACAATTTTATCTTAAAAAAAATACTATAAAAGCTATAAATCAACTCAACAGTAATAAAAGGTTCTAAAAAGATTGCAAGAAGAAGTAAACAAGAAAATTAACTGATATTTATTTAGATATATATATCTGAGTGATAGATATGAAGGGTAAAAAGGGGACTTTACAATCTTTACAAACGGTGAGTGAATTGCGATTTTGGTGACTACACAATGGACGTTTTGGAACTCAAGAGATTTCATTGTGCAAACCCATTCTTTCTCTTCGTTGTTGCCAATTCCCAACTATCCGTCTTCTCAAGAGTCCTTAAAAAAACAAAAAAAAAACCCAAATCAAAACCCTACAAAACTCAATCTTTCACCCAACAAAAAAGAAGAAGAAGATGAATTGAAGAAGATGTTTGTCTTGGCTATTTTTATTTGTGTGTGGTACAAAACTCTAAATCAAATTTCATGGTTAAGAGGAGAGAGAGCTTTTTCTCTTCCGTCTGGAAGAGAATTTGGTATAAAATGTTTCGAAGGAGCTTGGGAGTTTCAAATGGGAAGTGAAAATTTGAGAACAGCTATATAATTATATACATATTTTGTATAAAGAAGTTGTACAGAATAAGTGTACACACACTGAATATGGTAAATACAATTTTACCTCAACTGCCACCTCAGCAATTTTACCTCACTGGACAGCTTCCAGTGAGATGTGCAAAGGAGAGGATTTTTATGGCAAAACATTTTTACTCCATTTTATTTATTTATAATGTTATTACGATGTAAGCATGACGTGGAGGTTTTAGGCTAACAACTTACCCTGATCCTCGTCCTCCACCTCCTAGTTGGAACGCTAAGCATGGCAGCATCGTTCACATTGGTTTGATCTCAAATCATAGCAAACACATTATTTTGTTTGCTTCGCTTTATCCTCCATCCAAGCATCAATCGATGAGAGTCACCGCCATAACCCCAAAGCAGCAAGCAATCCTTGAATTTGATTTGATGATCCGAACCTGGTATGTCGCCGGCGTTGCTAGACTCCAGAGCTCCTGCACACACCTTTTACGTCCTCAATGAAGGTCACTCCCTGAAAAACCCTAATTCTGAAGGTCAGTTCTCTGCCCCTTCTCTACCATTCATTCTTTCTGGTTTCTCTTCAAACAATCAATCCCACACCATGAATTCATCAAATTCAAATAACGGGTCTTCTCGGTTTCCGAATTCTAACCGAATCCATCCCAATTTTGGCTTCAATTCGCCCGGATTGCCATCCGGAAAACCCGCAGTTGGTTCAGCTTCGGGTCTGTCGAAGCCACGTCTGAACAAGATGAGGAAACAAACGGCTCCTCCTCATCTTTCCAGGTCGACGCCGGCATCGGAAACCCGTAACGTTGATCCGGGTTTCAATCCTTTTCGCCCTGTCCCACTCCCCGGTGTGGGCAGTTCGATTTCAGGGGAATTTAACTTTGGGAGGGTTGATGATGCGGCATTTGTGTTTGGGGCGAATCGGAGAGATTCGAGCTCAAATTTGAATTATGGGATGGGAAATTCTATTGGAGATGTAGTTCTTGATGACTTGAGGAAATTGAAAATTGCTGGTGAAAAGGAATATGGAAGTAGCAGTAATCCTGTATTTAATTCCCACATAAGCGGTATTGATGAAAGTATGGTTTCAAAACTCCCATATGAGATGAGGAAGTTGAACATTGAAGGTTCAGGGACTATTGAAAGTTCTAGCAATGCTAAGGGTGTTGATTCCATCTCCAATCCGAAGAATAAGACTCACTTTAGCTTTGCAGGTGGGAATGTAGTATCAGAACTCCCAAATGAATTGAAGAAAATGTACATTAAAGACTCTGGGGAGTTTGATGGAGGTGGTCTTATTTATAATGCTGACAATATGGAAGGGTTTGCATTTGGAGGAACTGCTGTTGATTCTTTGGGCGAAAGCTCAGAGTTTACACTTCCCTCTAAGATGAAGAATTTGAACATTGAGGACTCTTATAATACTGGCATTGGTGAGGAGAAACATGTTAATGTTAATTCCAACGATAAGGGCAGCTTTGCTTTTGGAACCAGTATAAGCAATTGTGGTAGTTTGGGTGGAAGAACTGAAAATATGATTTCAGATGAAATAGGGAAGTTGAAAATTGGAAGCAGGGGGGAAGAAGCATCTTTTGGCTTAAATCAGAAATTAGAATTCACTGCAAAGAGGGACACTAGGCCAAAGAAAAAGAAAGGGAAGTTAAGGAAACCCGTCCCATCTCAACTGTGGTTTGGGCAAGATTTTAATTCAAGGGAAAACAGTTCACAAGAAATTCCAGAGTCTTCCGAGACATATTCACCTATGGATGTCTCACCATATCTGGAAGTATTAGCTGATAATAAATATTCAAGAGAAAATTCTGTGACATCAGAGGAGTCCTTCCATCTTGACGAAAACTATGTTTCAGGTGATACACTTCCAACTGTTTCACATGACACAACAGATGCAGATTTGATTGATGCAACACAGCGCTTGGATATTAGTGAAGCTGATGCAAAATACACAGAAACGAAAAGGCAAGACTCTGAGTATAATTTTAATAGGGATGGTTGTGCTGAAGGACATACAGAAGAATCTGTTTCTGAGGCAGAGACTGAAAGCTTTAAGTCTGCAACTGAACACTTAGACTGTATATCTGATACCTCTGCAGAAACTGAGATGAGTTCCAGTCCGAATATTAGGAGGCAATTTTGTTTTTCTTCAAGTTCAGAGGACACTGGCAGGATCAACTTCAGCTTTGCTGCGTCTTCATCTGCTCAAGGTCAATTATCAACAGCAACACGCCAGCACAAGAAGAAAAATCGGATTAAAGTTGCTCATGATTCATATAATTCTCCAAACACAAAAAGTACATACCCATCATCCTCTATGCAGTTCATTCCACATTCTAGAACTTCTTTGCTTTTGTCCCCTAGGAAGGGTCAAGAGGATGATGCATCCACTATATTAGGCAGAGGCCGGAACAAGTCTAATGCAATTAAAGAACTTGAGATCAATCCAGAAGCTATCTTGACTCCTGCTGCAAGTGTGGCAGCTCAAGAAGCCTGTGAAAAGTGGCGACTAAGGTGCAGATTTATATCTAAATACCTTGATATTTCTTTGCTTAAACTCTATTTTCAGATTCTCTTGCAATTAGCTAATGCTAAAATAGTTTTGCCCTGGTTGGCAGTTTGGATTTGTGGCTATGTTTTATGCTTAATATAGCAGTCATATGTTCATAATCAGACTTTGTTGAGAAGTTCTAATGTTGATTTATATCAGGGGAAACCAAGCATATGCAAATGGGGATCTGTCCAGAGCTGAAGATTACTACACACAAGGGGTGAAGTGTGTTTCTCAAAGTGAGACATCCAGAGGCTGTCTTAGGGCTTTGATGCTGTGCTATAGCAACCGTGCAGCAACAAGGATGTCTCTTGGGAGAATAAGAGCAGCACTAGGGGACTGTATGATGGCTGCTGCAATAGATCCCAACTTTCTCAAGGTGCAAGTAAGGGCTGCCAAGTAAGTTCATCCTTTATTAATGGTCCGCTATATTTGTTTTCAGGGATTTTTGATTTGTGCAACTCTATGCGCGTATGATATCTTGAATTGAAAGTTGATTCATTACCAAGGTTGTTTGTTGCTTAAGAATTGGTGACGAATGTAACTCCAAAACTGTAATTATGCTCAACTGTTTGCTCTATGCTGCGATTGTAGGAGTAGTTTAAATACAAAGGATGAGCGGACGTAGTTGACGTTGGAGTTGAAATAGCAATATTATTAGGTTCCGTTCTTTATGCTGGAATTAACTGGGAATTTCAAATTCTTGGAACTTAACAAAAGTTTTATCAGAATGTCATTTACTGTGAACACTAACTCCAATGAAGTATGGAATTTTTATAGTTCCACTTTAATAGGCATTTCGAATTGGTCAATTATGATAACAAGAACTGTGAAGCATATTTTGAAGTTTTACTTGCAACCCAAAAAATATATTTTTTTGTACACACACACGTCTACATATTGAAATTTTAGCCTGTGATTAAAAAGGAGTGAATAATCAAGGTCATTTAGGGTATTTGTTATGATTAAGTTCCGTGAACAAAATATGAATATTTTTGGCTCTTAAAGCTACAAAAGAGTTAACTTATCAAAAAAAAAAAAATGCTACAAAAGAGTTAAACAATGAAATTATTTTGACAAAATGGGGTTAACTTTTCTAAAAATGGCCTGTTAAGAAGTAATTGTTATTTTGAAATTTAAGTACATTACAACAATTGCAATCTCAACTTTTGAGAATTTCAAACTCGAGATTTTGGCACTTGAGAGTATGAATTCTCTATATTTAAACTTCTTAGCAAGCAAATTGACCCTTGGTGTGAATTATTCTTGATGAACGATAATATATGAAGTTGAATTTATATTGTGTATATGTTGTCTTCAAGAAGTTAGATATGAATGCTGGTAAATAAGTCCTGTTGGTATTACTATTGCTTTTGGTGTTTTTCTTTCTGTTTAACATTTATATGTTTGCTTGATTTTTTCATTAGTGAGGAAGCGTAAAAAAGAACCACAGATCTCAGTTATTAGAGAAACCTGGTAATCCTATGAAATTTTAGGAGCCCATATTTATGTTAAGATGTGAGCAATGATCCTTTACTAATTTGGAATTGCCCTTAACCAATGTGAACCAATTTCCTCTTCATGCTGCCAAAGAAGTGGGATTCTTGCTGAATCTAACTTTTATATTCTAAGCAATGCTGAGCTAACATCAATTTTCCGTTTAGTGTTTCTGGTGCTTCTATTGCGTGTATTGTAAAAATTATAGTGCATCAAATCCATTGTACTTATTTGTTTTAGCAGACTCTATAGGTTTCACTACTGGTTCTTTGTTCAAGTTTCAAATGACTTTCTAGTCAGATCAATCTCCTACAAGTGTTTACTCTCCCATCCAAATTTTAGTCTCTTTGCTAAATAGTATGGAATAATATAGAATGCCTTCTGAATAATTCATAAAATTTAGATTCATTTATCCTAGCTATTGCACTCCTTCCGCAACATGGAGAAGATTTGGGGAAGAAAAAGAAGAAATTAGGGAGGAAGAAACACTGCATTTCGGTATCACTAATTGCAATCAATCATGAACTCATAATAATTCCAATGCATAAGCCCATATATATAGGAAACCTGATAAGTATATAGGAAACCAAAATAAACTCTAGTCAAACACTACCAAACATGGCAAGCCCAAAAATAAGGGAAGTCCAAGAAATGAGGATATATAAAATAAATCCCGAAGTATGTCCCCTGTGCCTATGCCTAAAACAAGTACGTAACACATGGAGCATGATGCTCTGCATGATTTCCATCAATCGGTGTTATGAAATGTACATATAAGTTGAAGATGGCATGGTAGTGGTTTTAACAAATATATATATTTTTGATAAATAGTAGTGGTTTTAACAAATATATATATATATATATATATATATATATATATATATATATATATATTTGATAAGTAAAGTATATAGACAATGCTTAAGAGGGGAGCACATCCCAAAAGCTACACAAGGACCTCTCCAAGCCTCAAAAGCACTCTTCGTAGAAAGAGGCATAACCCACTATGCCCCAACGATGCTATGGAACATATCCCAACAATTGCAAGCCGCTGAGCAATAGAGAAGGAGGTGATCCAATGTCTCTTCATCTCTCCTGCCCATGTAGCACCGGTTCACTGTGACCTCTCCCCCTCAAGATGTCCGTCGTAAGGATCTGGCTCAAAGATACTGCCCAAGCAAAAAAGGCCACTTTGAGGGGGGCCATTGTGCACCACACGGCCTTCCATGGAAAAGGAATAGCCTGATCACTCACCAATCTCATGTAGAAAGAGTGCACCCTGAATCGCCCCTTGGAAGAGGGAATCTATAACCACTCATCTGACCCCACACCCTCCACCCTCTGACGGTAGAGCACTGCCAAAAAATCTTAAATGTCCTCCAGCTCCCAATCCTGGATATGTCTCAAAAACTGCATATCCCATGTCAGCCCTCTGCTATCAAGACAGTATTAGTCAACAATCATGACATGTGTGACTGCCGCAATCATGAGAAACATTGGATAGGAACAAGCTTAAGGAATGATCTCCACATTAATGGTCCTCCATCCTCCCAAAGCTGGATTCTCCTGCTATCCCTCACCCTGAAGCGAATGTGTTTTGAAAACTCATCGTAGTCTGTCTGGATGAATTTTCTAACCCTAACTCCAGTAGGGCACTTCACCTTTGAAGAACACCCACCCCTATCCTCTCCAAACTTGGAACAAATGACCCTTCTCTAGAGCCTACTCCTCTTCACCCTAAATCTCCATAACCACTTGCCTAACATGGCATTATTGAAGGGAGTAAGTCCCCTAACACCCAAACGCTGCATCTGAATCTGCCTGCACACCTGGTCCCAATTCATGAGATGGTACTTGAACTCCTCTCCCATTCCTCTCCATAGGAAATTCCATTGGAGCTTTTCAATCCTCTGCCACACTGAGGCTGGAATCTGAAAGAAAGATGGGAAGTGAGTAGGTATACTCGATAACGTGCTCTTCATCAAGGTCAAGCGACCCCTTTTTGACTGATTATACTTCTTCCACCATGCGAGCCTCCTCTCAAACTGCTCAATAACTGGGTCCCATGCTGCTATTCTCCTAAAAGGCACCCCCAAAGGCAAGCCTAAGTATGATATCGGGAACTCCCCTATCCCGCGACCCAGGATATCTGCGAAATCTAAGCCGCCACCTCCACCGGGACAATATTAGTCCTCCCTAAGTTCACGTTCAAGCTAAGAACTGCTTGGAAGCAAACCAACACACACCTCAGATATCTCAGCATCACAATAACTATAATATCATCAGCAAATAACAAATGTGAAATCTCCAATTGCTGCATTTTCTCTCTACCCACTCTGAAGCCTTTAATGAATCCCAGTTCCACTGCCCTCCTAGTCAGACAGCTTAATGGGTCCATCACTATAAGGAAAATTGGGGAAAGAGTGTCTCCTTTTTTCAAACCTCTCGAGCTGTTGAAGATCCAGAAGGAGTTCCATTCACCAGCTCCGAGAACCTCACTGTAGTGATGCACGCAGCACACCTCCATCCACCTCCCCCCAAACCCCATCCTCTCCAAAAGGTAAAGCAAGAAACCCCAGCTCACATGATCATAGGCCATCTCTACATCCAGCTTACAAAGGACTCCTGGGACTCTGCTACTCAATCTAGAACCCACACACTCGGAAGCTATGAGGGCTGAATCCAGAATCTGACATCCTCCCCCAAAAGCATAGTGAGAATATGAAATAACACCATCCAAAACTCCTTTCATGCGAGAGGCTTGGACTTTGGCAATAAGTTTGTACACACAACTCACCAAACTAATAGGTCTGAAGTCCTTAAAATCTGTAGGTCCCCTTTTTTTGGGAATGAGAGCAATAAATGAGGCATTCACACCCTTTTCAAATCGACCTTGCTCATGAAGATTGTGCCTTGACTCAGTACGGTCTTGAAGGTTGTGAAACTCAAAACCAACTAAGTTTTTAGTCTATACTTACAGTGTTTGAAATGATTCCCTACATTGGGTAATTTATAATTCTGTTTAGGCCATTCATTTATCAAAAAAGTAAATAAATTAACCTTCTGTTTAGGGCAATCATTACGTTTTCCTTTTGCTCTATAGGACAGATTTGGTCTTTTGGTCTACGTTGTGTGTGCAGGGGTTGGCCCAGTTTTGTTGCTTTTAATATAATAGTCTTATTTTACTTATCAAAGGAAACTTTTTTTTATTTATTTTTATTTTTCTATAATCAATGTGCTTTCAACCTTGTGGCCGTCATCATCATTCATCATCATCATTCGTCCTTGCCTTAATCCATATGAATGGGTCTGCTACATGACTATAATATGTTTATATTATTAGGTTAAAAGTATAGACTATTTAATCTGTTAAAGAACTTTTAGTCATTACACCAAGCTTTAACACTGTTGAATTGCAGCACCGGGTACCTCTAATCTAGACTGTGCTTTGTGATTGTAGAAAGTTATGGCCACTAACTTGCGCATTTTATTTATTGCTTTCTAGTTGTTACCTTGCGCTTGGTGAATTTGAAGATGCATCTCTACATTTCAAGAAATGCTTGCAGTCAGGTAGCGACATCAGTGTGGACCAAAAGCTATTAGTAGAAGCTTCTGAGGGCCTACTGAAGGCACAGGTAATGTAAAAGGTTTTCACTAAATCATCTTGTAATCATTCTTTTTCGTTTAGTACGTCTCATAATTCTATATGTAAACTGTAGCACCGTTTTGATAGTTGACAAAAAATTGAACAATCTACAAAAATTCATGATTAATTAGTGAATGCAGTACTTTATTAGATCTATAATGCCGAGTTAAGGAAGTCATCTATATTATTACCAACTGTATGTCTTGCTTACGCACGACTAGAGACAGATTTAACCATTGGTATTATTTTACACAAAGTGGATGCTCTCGGACTCTGATCCAAAGGTAGTCCTTTATATACATTTTAAGGCTATGTTTGGCGGGGCTTTCTAAAGCAAGACGACCTTCAATATGAATTTCTCTTATGAACTTCTTTGTAGACTTTATTTTGAGATGATGATAGCATTTGCTTTCGTGTTTTTTTTTTTTTAAAACTACACGCTTAACAATTTCATGGCAGTAGTACACTTATTTCATGTTAAGCATTTAGTACCTTTCAAGAAGTTTGACCGGTTTGTGCAATTAGTGTTTGGAAGAATGAAAGGACATAATAATTGGTTGAACTACTGTGAGGCCTTTAAAAAAGAGCTATGCTCGTTTGTACTAGCAACTCTGAAGTTCATGCTGATGGAACATAATTATCTACTGGAGAGTAGATGTGATATCACTTATAATGTTTGTATATTTTTTGTACTTATAAAAAAAAAAAGAAAAAAAAGTGTATTCCTTCCTGTCCTAAGCTTTCCGAAAGCTTGTTGGACCTAATTTGTTCTAATTCAGTTAGCACAAAACTGTTTTTGCTAAATGACATTCCTCTTACATTCTGTCTTCAGTTCTTATAAAACATGGGGAAGCTTAGCTTTTATGAATAAATAAGATGCAAGAGCTCAAAATATTAGGTTAACAGATAAAATTTACAAGTAGTCAAAATTTGTTTCTCTCTCTTGACATGTTTCATGTTTTTTGCTTTGGATTTTTTCTTCTTTCCAGTAATGTTTTTAAATGTGATGAGATTTGCTAAAGTTTGATTTGAAGTGAAAATATTAAAGTTTTGTGGAATTATTTGTGCTTAGTCTTTTCCTGCATAAAAAACTGAATACATTTTGGTTTGTCTAGTGATACCACTTATTGGTGTTTTTCCCTTTCAGAAAGTGTCTGAGTGCATGAGTCGATCTGCTGATCTTTTGAAACGAAGAACATCCACTGATGCAGAAAATGCTTTGGAAATAATTGCTGAGGCTTTAATAATAAGCTCTCACTCAGAAAAACTACAGGAGATGAAAGCAGTGGTTCTTCTCATGGTTTGTTCTTATATGAATTCTTACCTGAAACTTCACTTTGAGTAATGCCAGCAGGCCTAGTACCCAGAGTTGTTTGCTGTTAATCAACAGTGTTGGAAACAATGGACTGGGTACAGACCTAACTTTTGACATTATATGCACAAAGTCTCTGCCATGAGACTTGAATTTGCATTCTGATGCTTGGAGTCTAGCTTTCATTGGCACCAAGTAGTGGCCCTTGGAACTTCACTTCGAGCAACTTAAAAATAATTGAAAGTCAAAGTAAACCATATGAAGATTAGCATCTAAGTATTGTCCTCAGAGTTGATCTAACTTTTCTTCCGTCTAACAGCTGGGAAAATATGAAGAGGTTATTCAGTTGTGCGAGCAGACGCTTCGTTCTGTTGAGATAGACTCTCCTGCATCAGGTGCTGATGGCCACTTGGCACATCTGGATGGTTCAGACTCCCAAGAAAACTCTTCCTTCAGGCTTTGGCGGTGGCGCCTGATTGTCAAGTCTTATTTTCATTTAGGGAGGCTTGAGGATGCTCTTGCTTTTCTGGAGAAGCAAGTGGAATTAGAGCCTGTCTTGAAAAAGTAACTCCTAATCTTTACAAATGCAGAACTTCAGCATTTTTCTATGGGCAATTCTAATCAGTCCATTTTCTATGTGACATGAAGTTCCTGATGCTAATTTTACCATCCAGGTTTGGAAGCAAGTCTCTTGAAGCAGCAATTCCATTAGTTGGCACCATACGTGAGCTATTACACCATAAGGTATACCGTTTTCATGCTTTTATACTCTACTATTCTTACACATGCTAATTGTGGACGTGCTCTTCTTATCAATGAACATATGTTTTGGTATTTGCAATTTAGGCCAAGCTTTAAAAATTGATAAAATTAGTCTATAAGGCCCTGTTTAGCAACCTCTTTTGCATCGTATTTTTTGCTTCAGACTGTCTGCTGTAGTGAAGCAAAACATAGAAGCGTGTTTGGTAATGTTTGCTGCGATTTGAATAGTACCGAAACGTTTCCGAAAAAGAGGCTGAAACCGGAAGCACCAAATTGGTGTTTCCGGTTGCTTCCGCATTGTAGCAAAAACACTGTAGCGAGCGATGAACAGTACCCAAAAAAAAAGGACATTTTTAACTAGCCATTTTATTTTTCAAACTTGCAACACTTTTTTACCAAACATGTTTTCATGTTTTTGCTTCCAAAAATCTTGCAACCAATCATGCTTCCGATTACTATTGAACACACTCTAAAATAGAAACATTGTTTTTGTTTTGGGTCAAAACAAAAAAACGCAAAGCAAAAGTGGTTGCCAAACAGAGCCTAAAGAAGTCCAAAAAATATTGATATATAGAAAAATATCAAAACTGTTTTGGATAAATAAAGAAAAATAGTAATGAAAGAATTTTTATGGATGTGCATTCACATGGAACGGATAACGGAGGTCTTTAATTTATGATATATCTACTGTTGCGGCAAACTAAGCGAACCAAGCAACTATTACGAAACATGACAGAAAAATAAACACACCACACAAAGATTTATACGTGGTTCGGCAAAACCTACGTCCACGGTGGAGATCTAGCGAAAGTCTTCACTATGTGTAAAATCGGAGATTACAAGTTTCAGCCCTTCACTCTCTTTGCACGATTTTTAGCGTCTCTTCAACATACACTCCAAAACCTAAGCGCCCTTATAAATCGGGCTACAAGAGTACTAATTAGAGTCCACGAGCCACAAGCCAAAAACGGGTCAAAAAATTTCCTTAGGGCCAAGCCCCCGAACCCCCAGAGCTTTGGGCCCACATAAAGCTTAGAAACAGGTCGTAAGCGGGTCACAATGCGACCCGACACTAAATTCGGGCCACAATATCACACTACTTATATATATAAATTTATGAATGATCTGTTGAAGGGACTTCTTGCTTTGAGATTGAGGGAGGTGCCGGATGGGGGTTATATCGGATTCTCAAAACGCTTTTGTCGGAGGTTGCCAAATTCTTGATTTAGTGTTTATTGCTGAAAAATGCATGGACTCTAGGTTGTGTAGTGGGGCATCAAGAGTGTTATGCAAGCTGGACATTGAAAAGGCCTATGATCATGTTTCTTGGAGCTTTCTTCTTTTTCTGTTGGAAAGGATGGGTTTCGGTGAGAGATGGAGAAGTTGGATTTTGTTTTGCATTTCAAATGTTTGTTTCTCGGTCCTTGTGAATGGAGCTCCGATGGGTTTCTTCTGTAGTTCGAGGGGTTTGAGGCAGGGAGATCCGCTCTCTCCTTTTTTGTTCCTCATCGTGATGGAGGCTCTTAGTAGAATGCTGAGGAGGGCGGTGGATGTGGGTTTCTTGAGGGGTTTTCAGGTCGGAAGAGACGCTCTTAGTCAGTTGGAGATTTCTCATTTGATGTTTGGTGATGATACTTTGGTTTTTTGTGATGCGGATGTTTCTTAAATGAGATATTTGAGATGCGTTCTGATGTTGTTTTTGGATTGAAGATTAATGTGGGAAAAAGTGTTTGGGTTCCAATTGGGGAGGTTCCTGATATTTCTGTTCTTGTTGATACCTTAGGCTGTTGCATTGGCTCTTTCCCTATCTTTTACTTGGATCCTCTCGGGACGCCATCAAGGGATGTTTGGTGTGGGCAAGGATCTCTTGCTCTCTCCTATCCCAAACTCTTCAGGTTGCCATAAACAGACAGGCCTTGGTGAGTGACTGTTATCGTCTTGATAGTGGTAGATCATCCCGGGATGTTTGTTTTTTGAGGCATATTCAAGATTACGTAGTTGGTTTTTTAGAGTTGCTGTATCATCAAGAGATTGTTAGTGGAGTCCCTGATTCTATGGTATGGGCCCCCTCTTCTAGGGGTCATTTGAGGTTCGCTCATACTTTAGATGTCTTGGGATTTCTTGAGGAGATGCATTCCCGTGGAAGACTATTTGGCATTCTAAGGTCCCCCTCAAGGTGGCTTTCTTTGTTTGGACATCTATGTTGGGAAAGATATTGACCCAGGATAACCTTAAGAGGAGGAGACAAGTGGTTAACTGTTATTGTATGTGTAAGGGAGACTAGGAAACGGTAAATCATCTTCTTTTACATTGTTCAGTTGCTCGGGATTGCTGGTCTTTGATGTTTGGTTTGTTTGGAGTTCAGTGGGTTATGTCCAAATCTACTAGAGGCTTGAATGCTTGATTGGGGCCTGGAGAGGCTGTTTAGTGGGGGCTCATGTTCGGGATTTCTGAAGGATTACGCCTTTGTGTGTCTGGTGGTATTTATGGCTTGAACGAAATAGGAGATACTTTGAAGGGAAGGAGACTTCTATTGGTGTATTGAAATTCTTCATTTATTAGCTCTATTTTGTTTTGGGTTCTTGGGAGATATTGTAAATCCTTTGATGAGATAGTGGACTTTATTGACTCTTTGAGAGATTAGAGGCCGTATTTGGTCTTGTGTAGCTTTTGAGGGATGCGTTCCCCCTTTGAACGCTTCTTTTTATACAATCTTACTTATCAACAAAATATATATATATATATATATATATATATATATATATTTAAAGTAGATGGTAGTTAACATGACATCAGAGCAGGCAAGGTCCCTTGTTCAAACCTCACCGTCACCTTGATAATTAAAATTGAAGCATGAGTTGGACCAAAAGAAGGCCACACCGGGGGGGCCGAGGGGGGAGTTACCCTCTCTAATAGCTTAAGCTTTTAGAGTAGATGGTGGCAAGGATTGTTGAGGGCTGAAAGTGCTTGTACAAGAGAGGAAGTGTAAAGACGGGTCACATACGGAGGAGACATGCGGCAAGAGTCTCATCAAGTGGAAGGTGTTCTCGAATGTGTTTGCAGGACGAGCGTCAAGACTGCAATGAGGGTGTCGTAGGATTTGGGTGGGGGAGAATGTCACGCCCCACCTATTTTGCGGGAAGGTTTTGCCATGTGAGCGCTGAGGAGGACTCTACATAGAATTTGCATGGGATATGTGAAGAGTTGTTTTGGAGTCTTCCAGAGTAGTGTGGAGAGCTTGTAGGTATGTGTAGAGTGTATAGAAGAGTAGAGAATTTTATAGTGTTGTGGATATATATATATATATTTCATAATTGGTGTTAAATTTTATTAGAAGGTAAATCATTTGTATTTTGGGGGGGGGGGGGGGGGGGGGGGTGGGGGTGTGTGTGGTTGTTACAGGGTTTAAATATTAAAGTCACCCTCTCTAATAGCTTAAGCTTTTATAGTAGTTGAGCGCTGAGGGGCCTTGAGAGCTGAAAGTGCCTCTATGAGAGAGGAAGTGTAAAGACGGGTCACACATACGGAGGAGACATGCGGCAAGAGTCTCATCAAGTGGAAGGTGTTCTCGAATGTGTTTGCAGGATGAGCATCGAGAAGGCAATGAGGATGTCGTAGGATTTGGGCGGGGGAGAATGTCACGCCCCACCTATTTTGCAGGAAGGTTGCCCACATGAGCGCTGAGGACTCTACACAGCATCTGCATGTCATATGTGAAGAGTTGTTTTGGAGTCTTCCAGAGTAGTGTGGAGATTGTGGAGTATTGTAGACTGAGTTGGAAGATTCTAGAATGTTGGAGAGCTTGTAGGTATGTGTAGAGTGTATAGAAGATTCTAGAATAGTAGAGAATTTTATAGTGTTTTGGATATATGTATTTTTTTCATAATTGGTGTTGAATTTTATTAGAGGGTAAATCATTGGAGTACATGAGGAAAAGAGGGCAGAACAAAACAGTGGATGAAAACATCCATTTCCAATACACATGCAAAAGATAAAATAAAATGTTAAGGGATAGCATCAGTAGCATTTTGTCCAGCAGCATCTAATACTGAAAACCAAGTAGCAGAGGCCACCTCATGAGGAGAGTTTGAGTTCCCCGAGTGAAACCTATGATTCTTTTCCTTCCAAATCCCTCACAGAATGGCTGCAAATAACATTCTGGGAAGCTTTGAAGTTCTGTAGTAATATAGGAAATGTTCTGCAAGTTGTGGAAGCCTACTACCATTCTGAAAAACAGGTGCTGGCCAATGAAGAAGGGCTGCAAACCAATCCCTGATAGCAGCTGCAAAAGCACAATCCACAAAAAGATGATCTCTGTCATCAGAGGTATTGAGGCAATTGGCACACCTAGGAGCCAAACTCCAGCCCTTCCTCTGCAGATTAACACATGAAGGGTGCTCGTCAAGCATGATCATGCAGCAAGATATTGAAACTCTGGGTCTGCCCTGATTCCAGCAGAAAGGAGCCCATGGAACATGATTAAAATGAGGTCTACAGCTCTCCCATGCTTTTTTGAAAATAAATTGTCCAGATTGCCAACCAATTTGATCTTCAGCAACAGAAAGTGGAGTGGTCTGTAGATAATCTTTAAGGGGAAGAAGAGGTGCAATAGAGAGAACATCAAGATCCCAGTGACCATTAGGAGCTAGCGAGCACACAGGAGCATCAATGGGCAGGGATAGGTGTCTAAGAACTCTGAAGGAAAAATTAGCTCTGAGGAGAGCTCCCCTATACCAGGGGTCCAAAAATAGATTAATTTTGGTACCATTACCAATCTTATAAACTATATTTTGCAAAAGAATGTCCCTAACACTCTAAATAGGGATATTTGTGTAGAGAGCTTTAGAAAGTAGGGAGGACACCTATAAATAGGTGAGGAGTGTCATTTGTAACTAACAAGCTCCAAGTTTGAGAAGCTCCAAAACTGAGAGTGAGTTGCCACGAGTGTCGTAACCCATAAGTTGTGTACTCTCTTCAAGTAGTAATAAAAGTATTTTTTCCTCTTGCCAACCAAAGTGTCTAAGAGTGTGTGTGAGTGTGCAAGCCGAGCAGAGGGCGTGAGACACTACAATGCGGGTGAGAGGCACGAGTGACGGTGGGAGTTAGGCTGACCAAGGTCTTGTCGTGAGGAGGTACAATGCCTTGGTGCTGCACGGGCGTGTTTGGAGTAGTGGAGAAACTCTAGGCCCATGACAGCTCTCACCCCAGCTAGGATTTCAAGCATTGGAGGCTACGGTTTGAGGAGTCGACCATGCGGCGCTGTCCAATCCCTCTACCGCTGCATTTCGCGTGAGAGGCTAGTATTTTTGCTGCCATTTCTCTATCACACCTGATCTGAAATTCCATAGAACTTTACTGTCATGGCAATGTGAATCCTATTGTTTCATGTAAGGACCTAGTTCTCTCTTGTTGATTGGTGTTACAAATATATTTCTAGTAAATAGAAACCTTTATTTACATCAGATTGGTATCAAAGCAGTTATTTCTTGGTGGCTGCTTGTGTCTTTGTTTCTTGGTTGTTGGGTTTGTGATACATGATTGCTGAAGAGGTGGAAGAGTGAACCGTGGTCGGGGAGCTAGGAATAATGCTACTGTTGAAATGCTGGAGGAGTTGAGGTGGTTGATGAGGGAACAAATCTAGCACCTTACACAACTTGTTATTCAAAGAAACAATCGTTGCAATGGAAGTGAACATTAGTCTTTGTGGTGCAAAATCTGAAAATGAAGACAACCAGATTTTGGAGGGAGGAAGTGGTGGCAGTTCTAGTGACGGAGGAGGTTCAGAGGAAAGAGTTGCTCAGCATAATGGAAGGACTCAAGATCGCATTGGACATGCTCTACAAAATTTTAAAGAGTATGGTGTGTGAGTGCATGTCACAGAATTTGATGGAGTAATAAAACTGGAAGAATTTCTTGATTGGGTAGACAACATCGATAGTTACTTTGAATTGAAAGAAGTTCCCTAAGAGAGGAAAGTGAAAATTGTTGGCGCAAAACTAAGAGGTCCAGCCTCTACCTGGTGAAAGAACTACCAAAATGATGGGGAAAGACGGGAAGAGAAAGGTTAGAAGGTGGACAAGATGAAAGAGAAGCTGAGAGCTCAATTCTTGCCTCGGGATTTATTTATTTTTCCTGGGTACATGAGGACAATTTTATAGATATAAAACACATAATACAAAACAACTTCAAGGGCATATCCTTGGGATAACAAGAACATTGCTAACAGTAATAATCTGAGAAACAAAAGAAAATGGTTGAACAAACAGCATAAAAGAAAATATATCAGCCAAACTAGCATCAATGAAGGATGATCTCTCCCACAGTCATATCAGTGAGCATCAGGACCTCCCACCACACCCCTCTAGCATTGTTGTCATAAGTTCTATGAGGATTCTGATGCAGTCTCAAATTCCTCTCCTGCCATAGCTGCCAAATAACAGTGGCAAAAACTCGTTTCTGTGCTCTGCTTATTGCGTGGCAACGATAAAACACTGTAAAACAGTATACTCAAGGGTTCAGCAAGCTATCATTGAGGACTTATCTTGCTGAAACCGAAGCTCAAAGGGTCAGTCGATGTGTTAATGATCTCCGATTAGCCATACAAAACCAAGTAAGCCAGCAATGCTCTTATAAAGTCAAAGATGCTCATCCAGCTTGGACTAAAATTTGAAGCACAACTCACTTGCAACTCTTTCAAAAGGTTTGAAAATAATCGCAGCAGTGGGGCATCAACTAGTAGAGCGAGTAATGCCATTCAAAGTGAGCAGACAGCAGTTCCCACTTGTCCTAACAGCCAAGCAAACATTTCAGGTGGCAAAGTTTTTCAAAACAGGAATACCACGCAAGGGCAAGGAGTAGTAAAATGTTTTATATGTTCAGAACTTGGCGATCGATCTAATGAATGGCCAAAGAGGAGAACTGATGTTAATGTTAACTTTGTCGATGATCAGGATGGCGGATTTGAGAACTTTGTTAGGTACAAGAAGATGGTGGTGTTGACGAAGGAGTTAAAGGTGATGTGCTGGGCAAAATACTTGTTATCAGGCGGTATGCTTGCAGCTCTAGTTTACAACAAAGATGATTAGCTGCGTAAAAATATCTTCAGAACACGCTGTACTTCTGGGGGGAAGCTTTGCAATTTGATCATTGATAGTGGGAGCAGTGAAAATATGGTTTCTCAAGAAATGGTGGACAAGTAGACGTCCAACAGATGTTGCAACTGAATCTAACACTACAAAGAGGCTGCTGATTGGCATCAAAGATTCAAAGAGTTCCAAGTTGAGGATGGGGTTATGGTTTTCTTCACAAAGAAAGGTATCCTGTTTGCACTCATCACATATTGAAGTGCAAAACGATTGGCCCATGAATTTTTTTGTGCAAGTTTGGTGAAAAAGCCTATGAGATGGAACTTCCTCAAGGCCTAGACTTATCTCCCATTTTTAATGTGTCTGATCTCTATGGTTTTCATGGTGATTTAAGAGCTGAAATTGTCAGAGATAAAGGTGAGCCATCAAGTCCTCCTATGAAAAGAAAGATAAGGTTGAAAAGGTAATCCAAGTGCGTGAAATGAAGATGAGAGCTGGTACTTAATTTCATTTCCTTGTCAAAAAGATAGGAAAACCTGATTATGAGAACTAATGGATAAACGAAGAGGAGTTTATGAAACTTGATGACAAAATGTGCAAGGTTGCAAAAGTAGCAACTTGCATGGAGGCGCGTTCTTTCTAATGGAGGGAGAATGATGCGAATATATGTAAATATGTATAGTATCTGTTTTAGTTGGTGTTTTGGGTTGTTTTCTGCAAATAGTGTAGTCTAGGGGTTATCATAATTTCAGATTTTGGATGTTTTAGTTCAGCTAGGTTAAATTTGGGACCTTGGGTTGTTATGGGGTATTTGGGTTGGTTTTGTAATAGATGGTATGTGCATGAGGTATTAGAAAAGTTTCTTATATTTTTTGGGGCTTATGTACAAAACCCTAAAGTAGCTTCTTTAGGATAGAATGCAAAGAAAGAGGGAGTCTATCTTCTAGCAGTTTTTTGTAGACATTCCAGAACCAGAGTTGCTGCTCTCACCCCAGCTAGGGTTTCAAGCATTGGAGGTTAGGGTTTGAGATGTCTACCCTGTGGCGCCGTCCAATCCAATTCCCTCTACCGCTGCATTTCACGTGAGAGGTCTTTTTGTCTCTTAGCAATTTTGATTTCATCACTCTTCAAGCCAACTTCTTGTGTTCCAATGATTGATGTCTTCATGTTTCTAACCAAGTGCTACTATGCTGAAAAATCTGAAATGGTTAACTAATTTATATCTATTGATATATTTTTTCTCGACAACAGGCTGCAGGGAATGAGGCATTTCAATCAGGAAGGCATGCAGAAGCTGTTGAACACTACACTGCTGCTTTATTATGTAATATCCAGTCACGTCCTTTTGCAGCTATTTGTTTTTGCAATCGTGCTGCTGCATACCAAGCTCTTGGCCAAACCACCGATGCCATTGCAGACTGCTGTCTAGCTATAGCCCTTGATGGAAATTATCTCAAGGTTAGGCCTCAAAACTGCTGTTTTATGGGGAAGGGTTTGTTGGGTTGTCTTGCTGTCAAATGGAAATTGTGCCAAAATCTCTTTTTCATTACTTATTGGGGGCGGGTGAATTTTCTCTCTTTTTCAATTTTTTTTTTTAATTTTTTAATTTTTATGAGTAAAATTTCATTGAGAAAAGCTCAAAGGGGAGTGACACACTTAAAGAAACAACTACACAAAAGAATACATCACTATACCCTCAAACTATCCAGAAAATCAATAAAATTGTCTATAATGTACACACTTGCCCTTTAACCCCAAAAATTAATGAATTCATAGTGTTTTAGCAACCATATCAGTGCTTCCACAACATCAAATGTTACGACCTGAAATAGGGGCAATTACAAAACATGATTCAGAAACCGTCCGAATAAAATCACCAAAAAACATTCAAATTACAAATCCACAGTACATTCGTGGTCCCAAATCAACACAAATAACATCAAACAAACTCCCGCTGCGCAGCTCTGATAATCACCAACTTAAACAGGTCACGAACAACCTTAAAAAAAGTTGCACAGTGTTTACTCAAAATTTCGTAGAAAATTCAATTTTAATCGAAATGGGCCAAACCAAAATTCTTAAGAAACTTGACTTGAGGGGTAACATGACTGAACCACTTCTGGAGTCGGGAAACATTCCTAATTAAATCAGCTTTTAGAACTAAAAACAGCTTTTATAAGGTGAGCTGGAAATAAATCGTTCCATGAACTTTGGTCGTTTAGAAAATGTAAAAAAAAACTGAGAAAATTCCAAGACTTTGGTTGTTGGAAAGTGGATTCATAGAAGTCTAAACCTGGAAATTTTCGTAATTTTCCAACGTAAGAAGTTGAATAAACCATTTAAAATCTGTTTCGCCGCAGCGATAAAAAGATGGACAGCAGGCACTGTCGGATTTTCAACACGAAATTTTCCAGAGAGTTACAAGACACATGGGAGTACTTGTGGTAAAAATTTCAAGGCATTTGGAGCACAACAGCTCTTTATAAAAATTTCGTTCCAAAGGAAGACTTGAGAGAATTTTAAAAGAAATCTGGAAATGGGTATAGTGGTCCATCTTAGAACTGCTACTAATCATCCCAACACACCACTCCAATTTCAGCCCACAATAGAACACATTTAAAGTCCTTTACAGAACATAACATTATTTTACATATAGAACAATCTGGCCTCAAATGCAACGTGATCATCATATAACCTTCATACAAACATTTCATCACATTAAATATGCAAAACTAGATGGTCTCCAATTACATAATTTTCAGCAACTCCAATTGTTCTCCAATGATCGTAGAAAGCTGCATAGTGGTGGGGTGAGACAAGAAGTCCCAGTAGGAAATAGCCATAACATGTGTTGCTAAGAAATGTCATGAACCATCCAAAGCAGCAAGATACAAAGAGTAGGAGTGTGGATATATCAACTACAAGTAGGAATATGCATATACAAGAATACTTCAAATTGAAGTGCTTTATTTCTGCTTCACGGAATTCAGAAATCCACAACTACTTCAAAAGATGATGGAGAATCGAAGTGATCAAGTCATAGAGTAACTCAAAACCAACCATATACGCAAGAATTGAACAACAAAATCCATTACCACATAATAGACACAACATTACCATAGCAACATAAGTTATAGAAAACCCTACCTGAAAAAGATGATGCACGTAGAGATGATGAGCTGATGGTGGTGATGGTGATGGTGACAAATATAAGACATGCATTAGTGGGGCATGTGCCCCCTTCATAGGCTGCCACCAAAATATCCACTTCTCATTATCGCCCAAAACTCCTCCAAAGTTCAAGTAATTACACAAGCCTCCACTACTACAACTCCTATACACCAAGGTTCTTCATTAAATACATAATCACCCCTACTAACTAAATAAATCATTCCAAGACCTTGGGTCTCAATAAATGACAAACTCCCAATTAACGTAACAAAGTTTCCAAAAATAAATTGATCACACAATTAATCAAGATTAAAACTTAAATTAAAAATCCAGGGTATTACATCAAAAGACCTCCTAATTCTCTCACACCATAATTTCCGAAATATATAAAGCAGAACAACCCTCCATGCATATCGAGCTTGCCATCCTCTCCAAGACTTGAGAACTTCCATTGTAGAAGCCAGCAAAACCCTACCAAACACAACTAAAATCATAGGTTCGAAGCCGAAACGTCCCACGCTACTGGCCAGTGCAAAAGAAGATGAGTTTCTGACTCCTCATCCCTTTTGCACATGCAACACCAATTGACACAACCTGACGCTGCTTCCTCATATTGTTGACCTCCCGGAAGCCATTGTCCTCCCCAAAAAAAGCTGCATTGAGATCTGCTTTAGCTCTCTACACCCCTCTTCTCTTCCCTTTGTGCCTATGTTTCCTGCAGAGAAGTTCTACTTCGAACTTTCTGAATGGACATCCCCCAAAAAAACCTTTTCCTCAATAACAAACGAGGAAATTAGAGTATGAAGAAAAATGTAAAAAGCTGAGTATGGATGAGGAATCGCTAGCAGTAAACAAGAAAATAAACAAAACAGCCCATGTTGATTATGTTGAAGGATTTAAATATTTAAGTCACACCCTCTCTAACAGCTTAAGCTTTTGGAGTAGATGGTTGTCAACATGGTATTAGAGCAGGGTAGGTCTTGTGTTCAAACCTCACCGTCACCCTGATTTAAAATTGAAACACGTGTTGGACGAAAAGAAGGGCACATGTGAGGGGGCGTGGTGAATGATTTTACACCCTCTCTAACAGCTTAAGCTTTTGGAGTAGATGGTCATCAACAGATTATTCTATTCAGTTTTAGCATATCAGTAGATATTTGTTTTTAATTCTTGATATACTTCTGCAGGCAATTTCTAGAAGAGCCACTTTATTTGAGATGATTCGAGATTATGGACAAGCAGCTATTGATCTTCAAAGACTTATATCTCTTATCACAAAGCGAGCAGAGAAGGTGAACCAATCTGGAGCATCTGATAGAATGACCTGTGTGAATGACCTAAAACAAGCTCAATCACGGCTTTCTGTATTGGAAGAAGAAGTGAAAAAGGAAATCCCCTTGAATATGTATCTCATCTTGTAAGTTTCTATTTAAGTTTGTGTTATCAGCAGTTAAAACATGTCAGCACTTGCTTATGTTGTGCTGTCACCTATATATTCGAATCACTTATGTCCTACAGTAATCCATCCGAACGTACGTCTTGAAAGCTTCTAGAACTCGTATTTTCCCTGGATGCTCTGGTTTAATTAATGTGACCCTTTGCCAAATCCGTGATGTAATAAGACACGTAGATTATGGAGGCAAGAATTTCTTGCGTCATCCCCCAAGCTCCCATAGACCTGTTCATAAGCATGTTGAATATGTCATCTGTATCAATTCTGGGATTTTGTAACTAGTGGTCTCACAAAATATGAAGGGCTTTAGCTTAGTTTGAATGGGTTTAGTAATCATTCTATTTTAATGCCTTTCTGCTTAGGAAGTTTTTCCAAAACAAAGGATTTCCTTTTCTTGGCCAGTTGGAGTTAGGTCTTTTCAATTCTCTATGTTTTCTTCCTTTCTACCTTCTCTAACTGACCTAATTTCCCAAACAAATGAAATCTTCAATAATTTTTCCTGTCTCAGTCGACAAATTCAAGATGAATTTCTGTTGTAGAGTTGTCTCTTCTTCTTGGATGCTATTTTCATGGTCAACCTTTTTTTTTCCCCTCTGAAATTTTCTTTTATCTTCTTTGTATTGCTTGCCGGATTATTAAAATGTACTGCTTAGATAAATGAGTGTGCCTCAAATCTGTTACTTGCGACACCCAGTGTTTGGCAAATGAGCAGTGGTATACTAGAATGGGCTTGATGATTGCCCATTCATGCCACGTTTTTTAAATCAATATAGAAGGACAGCTATATTTCTATGTACGAAATTTATCTTTATTGTTTTTCAGAATGTGCATTCAGTGCAAAGAGTTTTTCCATTTGCTTAGAAGGCAGTACGGACAAATAATGTAATATTTGTTGTTTTCATTGTAGCTATGATATTGTCGGAATTGTATTTTCAATGGGATAGAAAATTCTATTATGCTCATGAACTAGAATGGGCTTGTGTAATCATTGTTACGACATTTTTGCTGCCAAGATCAATTAAATAAAGCTTCTAAAATTATTTTGTATTTCAAATTATGTTAGGGGAGTTGAACCATCTGTTACGGTATCAGAAATTAAGAAGGCCTACAAGAAAGCTGCTCTCAGACATCATCCTGACAAGGTTTGACCTTTTAATATCTGCTTATATATTTATAATATTTACTATTGTTTGCCTTTTCTGAAAGGTTTTTTAACTGATATAGGCTGGTCAATTTTTGGCAAGAAGTGAGAATGGAGATGCTGAGCTTTGGAAGGAAGTAGCAGAAGAGGCTCACAAAGATGCTGACAGGCTTTTCAAAATGATTGGAGAGGCCTACGCAGTACTCTCAGACCCTACCAAGGTCTCACTGGCATATTACAATATTCCTTCTTATATTATGCCCCTCCCTCTCTTTCCCCCTTGCAACACCTTTTTTTTTTTTTTTTTTTTTTTTTTTTTCTTCTTTATTTTTTGCCTGAAACATTTTTTCAGAAGGCCCTACCAAAGGTGGCTTGTCCACTTCTCTTAATTGTTTTCCCCCTAGAGATTACCAAAGTAATCTCGCTAATCACACTTGCATGGCTATATATCACTTCCTTCGCAGTGAGTCATTGCAACTGCACCCTAATGCAATTTCTCTGCACCAACTTTCTTTCTCTAAACACACACACAAGTATACATGCATAACTGATGGGGACGTGTTTCAAGTGGATATTGTGCTATTGTGGTCATGATGCACATGGATGGTGTCTTTGTGTTTCCTATGGGTTTTTGAGATAATTCTAGTACTAGGATCTTTACTAGTCTTTTGGAATATTATGATATCTTTAGTTAATTCTTTTTAAAAATATATATATTTAAATGCATTTGACACACAAACGAGAAGATATAATCCAATTAACTAAAAAACAGTTTAGAAGAAATAAGCCTCAAGTCTTCATAGAATCGAAACCTCAATGATATCTCCAACACTCAAACTAGTTACCTTTTTCCTTTCCTTAATTTGACTCTAAATTGAATGAAAAACTTTGTTACTTAGACTCATATATTCAAAAAGAGAGTTTGGACCTGATGTTGCTTTTAAAATTAAAGATATTGTGTGATCAACATATAGATTAACTTGAAAGCTGAACTTCTATAAAATAAAAGTAAACGTAGTAGCTTAGCCATAATTTATGGGCGAGAATGTTGATTAGTTATGGAACTTTGTTTATAAAGTAGCGCGCTCGAAATGCAAATGTTGAGATGAATGTGATAGGACAAGAGTTAGATATGAAAGCATTTACGAGATGTGGAAGTAGTGAGGAAGAGTGACATGACCTACATTGAAGTTTTAAGAGTAAATTACTCTGACCTCCCTGAGGTTTGCCTTTGTTACCTCGGACTAAACTAGTGAAAAAAGTTTGGTCAACCTCCCTAAGGTTTGGTTCACCTTACTCTGACCACTCCTGCCGTTGTTAGTCAGGATAAATGACAATTAAAGAAGTAAATTGAAATGCCTGAAATGTCCTTGTGTGATGCAAAATGACAAAAGTGACATTATTAAACATAGAAATGACCACTTAGAGCACGATGTTTTGGATAAAAATACCCTGACCTTTTTAATCACTTTAATTACCAATAACTAATAATTAATAAAATTAATATTTTTTGTTTCTAATACTAATTTGATTAACTTAATGCTTAATGTTTAATTTATAGAATTATATAAAATATAAACAAGAAAAATTGTTCTATTAAAAATATAATTTAAAATTAATAAATATATACACACAGATCACTAATAAATTAGTACATAATTAATGAAGATTAATCACAGATCATTTATAACTAATTCTATATTTTATATGCATATTACATATATAAACATATATATATATATATATATATATATTTATATTTTATTACACTCCCTCCTCTCTCTCTCTCTCTCTCTCTCTCTCTCTCTCTCTCTCTCTCTCTCTATCCACTGCCCTTCTCTCCGCCCCACCACTATCTCCCCCGCCCCTCTTTTTCTACCACTCTCTCTCGCAGTGTTCCATGGTCCCATTACTTCCATGGTTCCATGGTCCCATTACTCCCATACACATCACTGTGTGCATAAGTTGTGACAGCTTCAGATCGTGGGATGTGATGGTTCCATAGTCTGTCTGGTCCCGTTACTCCGTCTGTTGGGTTTGTGGTGTTCATATTTCAGATCTTGGGCTTTGTTTGAGTTCTAATTCGTTTTCGCATCCTTACTTTGATTCTAAAATTTCTGTCTTGAGATTTCCAAGGGTAGCTTGGTAGTGATCTTGCTAGTCGATAAGAGTGGTGGTTGAATCGGCTGTGACTTTTCCTGATTCGGAGCCATCGGTACCTCTTTTGATTGGTTACTCTAGATCTACAATCGACGATGGAGTATGAGGCGAAATCTGGTAATGATGGTGATGGATTGATTGAGGATTTAGAGTTTCCTGATAATGTATATTCTGAAGGTAAGGTTCAAGATATCTAAACAGAGATTTTTAAAATTAAAAGCTCATTAAATGGAAAAGGTAATTTCAGATCTACAACGGAAATAGTTTCGAGAGAAGAGGCTGTCATTTTGGTTTCAGTGGCCATCGTTGTGGTTAGTCTTTTGTAATTTTGGGTGGGGAGTGGCGGCTAGTGGTGGTTGAGTGCAGAGAGATATGGGAAGTATATTTGTCTATTGAAATTTTGGATTGCTTCATAAGCATGGCGTGTACAAACTTGTATTAAAGATGTGGGCAATTAGGTAATTTTATAACTACCGTAAGTGAATTTAACAGGTCTTAATCTAAAAGTTTAATATGAGGGTAATAAAGGCAAACCTCATGGGAGGTGAGAGTAATTTACCCTATTATTATAAAGAGAGACTGAAAATCAACATGGATTAAGATACAAAGATAAAATATTATTATTTTTGGTTCAACTTAAGTCACAGTATTAAGATAGAGCGAATTGTTGAAACATGATTCTTTGTAGTGAATTCCAAATAGTTGAGGTAGTATTTGTGGAGTTTTGTCAAATTTTGTGAGGTATGTACTTTCTGGTTACTCTTCTGCATTCTTAAACATCCCTATTACTGGCCTTAAAACTATCACTCTTTTTGGTTCATTTTTTCCATTTGAACTTTGTGGTTAACTTGGTTAATTGTTATCTATTGCAGCGGTCACGTTATGACCTTGAAGAAGAAATAAGGAATAATGCCCAGAAGAGAGGTAGTGGAAGCAGCATGTCAAGAACACATACAGATGTCCAGAATTATCCATTTGAGAGAAGCGGCAACAGGCGGCAATGGCAAGAAGTATGGAGATCGTATGGGAACTCATAGTTTGGAGGGTCAGAAACAACTTGATTAAACATGTATTCAAGCAGACTGTTTGTGAAGTTGATTATTGAAATCTTGAGATTTCAAATGAAGCTCAAAATAGGAAGGCCTACTGTGATGCTTCCCTAAGCAAAAGGAAATTGCACGGTATGCTGCATTCACTCTGTAGTTTCAGCATGAAGCTCCAGCATCGGCGCAATCACTCCAGCCACTATCGTAGAAAGAGTGGCGTATGTGCATATGTAGGTTCCATGGATGAAGCTTGGAGAGGAATTTAGTAATCTTAACGATTGCAATGGTTTTGGGCGAGAAATTAAAATATTGTTTTATCTTATAATAGGTTAGTAGTTTGTGAGGAAGTTAAGTAAAGAAATTTGATATTCTTGAGGACTTGAAACAAAAGAAAAAAAAAAAAATTACTCTATTTAATGTTCAGAAAAGCTTAGAGAGAGAGAGAGAGAGAGAGAGAGAGAGAGATGTGTACTGACAATGTCTACAGATGTGATGAAAGATATGGATGCAAACCAAGAATGATATATGGCCCCGGCAGTTTACGAGTGTTGGCTGGGACAATGCTGACTGATGATACAAAAAGAAGTAGCAGTGGGTTTCTTGGAGGACAGGTAGGACTCCGTCAAATCGTGTGTTGTATCTCTTTGTTTTGCTGTAAGTTTGGCACATAAGAGTTTTTACTGTACAGAACACTGTTTGTTGTGTTAATATGGAAGTGTAGGCGTTCAATTTCACATAAATTTCAAAGTTCGACAGTAAGCTCTCTTTGTTCTCAAGTTATTTGCCCTTATTATGATTTGTATTCATTTAGGCAGCATCTTGATGCTGTTAACTTTTCCATTGACATTGGTGAGTTTTTTTTATTACAATTCTAGCGTCCATTGGTTTGTTTTTCCTTCCAATGTATCAATTTGCTGATACAAGATGACGTTGCACAACTGATTTGTACATCTCTGTCTCTCTATTTCGCTTATTTTGAACTTTTTTTTTTTTTTTTTTTTCCTCGGTTTGACTTATTAATAGGAACCTTGTTCAATTATTTACACAAAACACTTGCTGAGCTCAACCTGATAAGCTGTTGGGAATTTAACACTATTAATAAGCTGTTGGATCCTAATGGTAAGCTCAACCTGAGCAACTTCCAATCCTCTTCAAGAAATACTTGTATCCAGGTTGTTAGGATCGGGTTAAAATCTAAAGTGTAGATGGAAGAAAATTCTATTTCTGTTAATGGAATTTTTTTTTTCTTACACCAAATATGCCCCTTTTCTCTTCCTCTTTCCTTATTTATAATACTCTCCCCCTCCGTCCCAAAATATTTGTCCATCCTTCGTTTTTTGGGATGTCCCAAAATACATGTCCCTTTCCAAAAATAGATGTATTATTTTTCATCACATTTCCAAACTACCCCTTTTTCATTTACTTGTTTAGCACCTTACAAGGATAAAAATGGAACTTCACTCATTATTAAGTACACTTTCATAAAAAGTTGGAATTCCAATGCATCTCAACTATTTTGGGACAAAGGGAGTACATTATATGTCACCCTAATTTCTTTCCATCATCCTAAGGTGAGGGTGATGGGCTTCTCTTGCGTGGCCTTCTTCGGAGTCAACTCTCAATTCTTCGATTTGGGCCTTTGGATTGCTGCATCTTCAGGCTAGGCTTATGGATCGCTACCATGGTTATCAAGTTGAATGGATTAGCTTAGATCAGGCCCACGGGTGTTTTTGGTCTTTTCACCTGTCTCCTAATATAAAAAGGTGAAATTAATCACGTTTTGGGGGGTTCGCGTTAATGACGGCTAACGTGACTCTTGAGAGTGGTCAGCACAAGTCTCCATGTCTTGATCTTTCGTGTGTTCTCGTTGCGCTGACTGAAGCTTTATTATCTTGACTTTGGCAATGTGAATGTTTTCTACTGTTTTTTTTTGTCAAGGATCTCATCCTTTTCCCAGTTCCCCCTCTGGCTTTGGACAGTGTTTCCTCATTGTCTTCGGCGAGTAATTTCTTTTGTTCTTTCAGTCTTCTCTGTCTTGTGAGGCCTATTTCTTTTTTTCCCTTTTTTTTTTTTTATAAATTTTTTTTTTTTAAAGTTTTTTTCCTTTTAGCATCCACTACTTTATATATTTTCTTGACCTCGACGCTGTTCGTGCCCGTTGCAACATTCCCGTTGATGTTTCTATTCGACTTTATTTCGATCGGCAGGGTGCCAGTATAGGCAGAGGGCTTGCCGCCGACGAAGTCTTTTTAACTGCGTTTCAACTTGTTGACACCATTTTTTGGCAAATCACGTGGTGACTATTTTGGTGATGATGTGGTATCGACCACGTGGGTAAAGATTAAATCTATAACAATGTTTTGGTTTGGTGAGGACGCATCTATTGGTGGAAGATATTGTTGAAGAGATAAAAGTTTTGTCCATGTGGGGTGAAAATCACCTCCAGTCACATAGTGTACCATTTCCATCATTTTGGAATAAGTGGAGGAGAATTGGCCACATCAATTAAAAATCTTGACTAACTAAATTTTTACCACCTTTGTATTTTATATATAAAAGCTTTAAATATTGTATTATATATATATAAACACATTTAAATATTATATCCAAAATACCTTGTCTTCTTTCAAAATGTGGTCTTCTTCATTTCTCTCTCGAAAAGCTTCATCAACTTCTATTAATGGACTCTCCAAACACTCACAGTAACTTTTGAACTTCAAAACTTCACTTCAAAACCCAAACACACTCCAAAAACTCATGTAATTTCACTGAAATATTATGCAGAAACTCCATAGTATCATCCATAGATCTAAGCTTTATTCATGTAAATCTCGATTTTTGGTCTGTTTTTTTTATCTGATTAAAGAGCACGAACATCACTGGTTCGCACTTTTTTTAGTAGAATTTTGTTGGGATTTTACGTATAACATAATAAACTCCAGAGTATCATTAATAAATCTAAGCTTTATTCATGTAAATTTCGATTTTTGGTCTGTTTTTTCTTATCTGACTAAAGAGTACAAACATCATTGGTTCGCACTTTTTTTAGTAGAATTTTGTTGGGATTTTACGTATAACATAAGAATGAAATATAGTTAGTACTGCTTGGGATACAAAATACGTATTGCTTGGGATGTTAAGTAGGATTATGTTGGGATGTTACTTACAACTTATACCGACTTAAATTACAAACTGTTGGGATGCTATGTGCAAATAATTTATTAAGATTATGTTGGGATATTGCGTACAACTTATATTGACTTAAATTACAAACTGTTTGGGATGTTATGCAGTATATCCAAAATACCTTGTCTTCTTCCAAAATGTCGTCTTCTTCTTTTCTCTCTCTAAAAGCTTCATCAGCTTCCATTAATGGACTCTCTAAGGACTCATAGTAACTTTTGAACTTCAAAGTTTCACTTCAAAACCCAAACACACTCCAAAAACTCATGTAATTTCATTGAAGTATTATGCAGAAATTCCAGAGTATCATCCATAGATCTAAGCTTTATTCATGTAAATATCGATTTTTGGTCTATTTTTCCTTATCTGACTAAAGAGCATAAACAATTTATTAGGATTATGTTGGGATGTTGCGTACAACTTATATTGACTTAAATTACAAACTGTTTGGGATGTTATGCAGTATATCCAAAATACCTTGTCTTCTTCCAAAATGTCGTCTTCTTCCTTTCTCTCTCTAAAAGCTTCATCAACTTCCATTAATGGACTTTCCAACGACTCACAGTAACTTTTGAACTTAAAAGCTTCACTTCAAAACCCAAACACACTCCAAAAACTCATGTAATTTCATTGAAGTATTATGCAGAAATTCCAGAGTATCATCCATAGATCTAAGCTTTATTCATGTAAATCTCGATTTTTGGTCTGTTTTTCCTTATCTGACTAAAGAGTACAAACATCACTGGTTCGCACTTTTTTTGAAATATTTTGGAAAGAAATCAAAATTTGGGTTGTTGAAATGGCAGGATTTTGGAAAGAAATCAAAATAAATATTTTGGGAGAGAAGAAAATAGTGGGATTTAGGTTGCTGAAAGTAAGGGAGGGAAGAAGAAATAGTATTTGTGAACAGTGTATACATACATATATATATATATATGTGTGTGTGAAAATTGTGTATAAAACAAATAAATATTTTTACCCACCTTAGTAACTACTGTTCACTAACACAAAAAGGAGAAAATGGGCTACTGTGGGACTGGAGGTGATCCTGGTCCATCCATGTGATAACAAATCTTAGTTGATAAGGATTTATATATAGTTATCCTTAATATATATTCTCATCTTTGAGAATATATTTATCGGACTCTTCAACAAAGGAAGTTGAGGTAGAATATACGTGATTTATGGGTTAGTATGGCTTATTACTAGGAATAGTTTTGAGAATTTAATTGTAATCCAATAGCTTTGATTTAGGGACTCTTTAGTTTTCTATAAATAATTATAAAAACATGGTTGTGAAGGGTCCAGCACCTAATTCTCAATCATATCAATACAATTTTCCTTTTCAATCATGTTTTCCTAATTAAACTTGATTTCCTTAATTATTCATTCTAAATTTTCTAGTTTAATTAAATTGTCCATAGTTAATTCTTCTATTAAATTTCAGTTTCTTTAGTTAATTAAATTCTCTTTTGTTTCCATTCATTTTGCAATTTCGTTTCCAGTAAGATTCAATTATGTTCTTTCATATACTTTCAGTAGTCTTAATTTGTTCTTTAATCTTTGCACATGCAATTCCTTTTCAATATTAATTTTATTTCATTGCAATTGGTTCCCATTTAAAGTCATTTTCACCTATGGCAATTGAACCCATTAAAGGAAGTTCAATGTTCTCTATTTCTACAATCATTTGGTCAATTATTTTTCAAAAGAGACTCAGTTTGACCAAGATCTCTAACTTGAACCAGCCTGTTGGTTCTGTCACGCCCGCACTTAGCCAATTTATGAATCGGCAGGCTTAGTTGATTTAAGGGGTCAACATTTTGGTACACCCAGTGGGTCCTACTGGGTAAATGAATTGCAAACATGCCTCCAAGACCAAAAAATTCCGAAGCCGTAGAATGACAATGCAGAAGAAATTCATCCGATTCCTTTCGCTAAAGGTGTGATACCCCCAGATTTCCGAATGCGGGTTGGCCAGGCCCACGCCTGAACACCCCAGGATATTAAAAACGAATCGGCAATAAATGAACACAGAGTACAAAATAATAAAGAAGAATAAATAAAATGCTGACAAGAAACTAAAATGATAATCTAATAATAAACCTCAGAATATATTTCCAGTAATTAATAAACTCTTCTGATACAACTGATCCTCCAAAATACAACTCGGGAATCCATACTGTGTGGACCCCTAGAAAGTCCAAACTAAACAAATGACAGTAATAACTGTCTAAATCAGGAAACTGAATCATAAAGGAACTCCTATGTAGCATCGGAAGAATGAAGTAGACTGATCCCTGCTCAGCACGAACAACCTCTACTCTTGACGAACACCTGAAAAATAATGGTGGGTCAAGCCCACAAACAAGTTCTACTCTACTACAGTCCAAGCAGAGATCCGATACATGTATACATCCTAGTCAATCCAATAGTAACTAGTAGTCCGTATATATATATATATATACACACACTAAAGGAACCTCACTAGACTATAGGGTTGTCTCAACCTGAATAGTAGGCAACATACAAAACGTACATATAGTGGGCATGAGTACCTAGACCTACCAGGGTACATAACTACACTATATCTAGCTACACATCCCTGGTGATATACGCGCCCTAACCACTGATCGTGAGACTCAAGCTCATATTGTGGTACCATACTTATATATATATAATTTAGTAACCATCATATCCAGCATAAATTAATCCTCCA